TTGGCATGCACACAAGGCCAGGGAGAGAATTTAAATAGCAATATTTCAGATGCATCCATGGTTCTGAGGGCTGCCTTGACAGAAATTGCTAGTCCTACTGTGAAATCCATAAGAAAGGACATTGTAATGGGTAAATAGGGTATGGAATGTCAGAAGGCTGTAAAATCATCCACGTCATCAGCATAACCCTGCGTTTCAAAGGCCGAGACACAATTTTCAGGCTGCTACCTAGGGAGGAGAATTTGTTTAGATTACTTACCATACACCAGGCATAAGGAATGAAAGAAGGGGTCCTTGTAAATCTTTACCTTCAGAGCCAGGAAATATTTAACTCTCACCACTCACCAGAGCTGTCCTTAATGATATCTCCTGTGGTATGCACATGCATTTCCGTTAACTTTTTTTCCGAAGGCTTGCACACCTCTGACTTTCTTTGCAGATGTAAAGCAAATGTAGCTGTGTTAGATTAACTTTAATTAAAGAAAATATCTTGCACAGTAGCTGCTAAAAAGGTCACTCAAGGTAATCGTGGAATTGGAGGGTAAGAAGAGTTTGAGGGTATTAATTTTTAAAGACATTTTAATATTTAAGTCAATTGGAATAGATTCCCTGTATGTCTGTTCTGAAGTAAGTCTTGATTCTTCCATCACCTTGGCTGTTGTGCTTGAATCCTGGGTGCCTGTAGACATGTTAAATCTGATTGTGTGATCTCCCTTATTGCCTCTTTTTGTATAACTTGCAAGGAAAGCATATTCCTTGTGAGCACAGTATTGGACTTCTTTGTACGCACCGCAAATCTGCAGTAAGGTGATGTTCATATGAAAGCTAAATTAAATGGCTAGATGAAGCATCCTTTCTTATTGGAGATGATTGCAGTAGTGTGCTTTCCAAGCTTATGATTCCATTGGATGCTATTTTAAATGGAAGGCCCTGGATTTAGCTTAGGAACAAAGTATTGAATGCTTTCAGTGCCCTCTTAGTATATTTGATGAAACAATACCTTGCCTGCAAAACCTTATGCTAAAATTTATGTGCTTGTTTTTAAAATAAATAGTGTTTCAAGACTCCTTTTGTTGCAGCAGACAAATATGGCTAGTATTCTAACACCTAAGAGCCTTCCTTCCTTGATTAATATTCTTTCCAATCTGCAACAATTTGTTCTCTTTGGGAATTTTTGTAGGATTTTGCCCCCCTACAAAAAAAGTTGTAGTTTTTTCCAGGGGGTTATGGCCATCATTCAAGTTCCAAAATTAACTGATTTCTAAAAAATATACCATTCTAAATGGAGCTGGTTCACCTGCAGGGGCTTCTCCATTCCCCAGTCCATGAATGTGCAAAAGATACGCATACAGAGTGGTTCCCCGTTGAGCTGAATAGGAAAGTTCATTCATGCAAGAGCTCTGTATGCTTTGGTGTACATATGAAACCCTGAATTAATGGGAATTATACCATGGACCAGCAGGGCTCTGTCTGATTCATTCTTCTTTGTTTGCAGGTCACACGGTAGGTCTGGGAAGATCTACTCTTCTGTGACATGATCTGCATTGATGTGGCCAGCATTGAAAAAATGGCACACCATGACTTTTGTCCAGGTGTGAGAAGTTTCCTGCATCACTGTAAACAGGAGGATTTCCTTGGCACAGGATAGAGTGCAACTGTGTTGGTATAGGATGGCTATTCTTCACAGGCACTTTATTGTTCTTCCTCTAGTACAGCTGCCAAGGGAATGGTGCCATGGGTTGCTCCCTCCTGCTAGAACAGCAACAAGGATTACAGAAAGGCAAAGGCACACCACCTATCTGGGCAGAGATCTTGGAAAATATCCCTTGTTTATGAAGACAGAATGTTGCACTAGTGACTGATTCAGTGCAGTCTCTGAGGTATTTAACATCAGGTTACTAAGTCTACAATAATGGGTCTTGAGTGCATCACAAGAACTCCCTTCTGCTCCACATTTTCCCTCCATATCATGGATGTACCTGCGAGAAACATGCATTTTTTCCCCTTTTGCTCAGTGAAATGTTGGAATCATATAGAGTCTCTTGATGGCTACAGAGAAAAATCAGCTTTCCTTCCTTTTATTTTTCCTGTGTCTGTAGGTTGGTTATGATGATTGCTAAGAGAATCAAGATGTTGAGTGGGTGTTCCATTTGCTGCTTAAAATAAAATTAGTGTTTTTAATGAGATTTTCCCAATTTATGTTTGTGTTGTTTTCACAGCAAACAGGCTTGGAATTAGAGTTCTGGGAAATTCTGATCTCTAAGTGGTATAAAATGAGAGGAACTCCAAGGAAGACCATGCAGTTGCTCCAGTATTGATCCAGATATCAACTTCAAATTCTGCATCTAGAGTATAGAAGACCATATGAGAGAGACAAAAAATTATTTCACCTTGCTATGAATGCCAGAGAGCAATTATTCATAGTGTATTCTAATTTGGGAGTGGGAATGGAGTATTTGAGGAACAAGTAATGTTCTCTCATGATCTTTCCCCCCTTTCCCCTTCTAGTTACAATTAATTTGATAGTTTTCTCCATATTTTCATAGATACAGGAAAAAAAAAACATTACTTCTGACATTCACTATAGAATTTGGACTTACTACAGCAGTTGAGGGACAGTACCTTTCCCTTGACTGTGTTGCATCTGGTACAGTCTGAATCTTACTTGGATTCAGCTTAGTTACATTTAGCATTAGATACTTTATCTTACAACTACAATGAGCACAGATTCCTTTCAGAACCCAAATTGTTGCTTTCTGTAATCTGATCTCTAGACAATAAAATATTAACTGACCTGTTAAACTCTCCAATTCATAATTCTGCCGCTCTTTCTCCCCACTTCATTGGAGAGGCATAGAGAAGTGGTGTATCTGTGGTGAGATTCGTCTTAAATTTTGATGCACAGGTAGAAATGCATATTCAGAACCTCCTTAGCATTCTTCATAGCACACGTGAAAGGAGAGGTTTTCTGTAGCCATGAGTACTTGTTTCCATATGGGCTGTTTGGAGTCACTCCTAGTTATTTAATATTCACAAACACTTCTATATGTTTATCGTATTATGGCTGCATTTGTTCATGAAGATTTTGTGGATGAGGATGAGAATGGTTGCATCCCATACCATGCCAAGTATAACCCAAAGTGAGCATCTGACATTGACTAAAATGGAAAAAGTTTCAGGAATACTCAGAGAATGGAGAAGGCAAACAGACCTGCACCTTCAAAACTCTGCCCCGACCTGTCCTGTTTTGCAGCGGCCTGGCCTCCATGCTGTGACTGTACAACCTGCTGACTTTGTTCTCTAAACGTTTTTTGTAACAGACTATGTTAGACCTGCTTCAGATGCGATGTAAATACCAGACTGTGAAATATTAAAGTTCATTTTAATCTCTGCAAAATGATTTTTATTTAATTTTTTAATTTTTTTAATTTGCTGATGGAGGGGTGCTCTGTTATGACCTATGGGGATCCCTTTACTTTCAAGTGCTATGCCCTCTGTGATTGGATCAAAACCATATTTTATTAAGGCACTGTTCTTGATCAGAATTCTGTAAGAAGATGAGATGGTGTTCTGGATCAAATGCCAAGCAAATTTATATTAGATCATATTTGCAACTCTCATGCTTATCTGAGCCATAGCTTATTTGGGGATCTTTTTGTCCACAAATGGATACTTTTACGCTTACATCGGATCTTGTATGCCAGTCTATTACACATTCATCCAGTTTGGAAAGATCTTTTGGAAGTTGATTCTCACCCTACTTGGGACTTTATTATCCAGAATACTTTTTCCTCCACCCTTACTCCAGGTCATTTTTGAAAGTTGAAATACCATCAGTTGGA